TCAGCATCGGTCACGCCAGCCCCCTTCGAAGCTGTCTTCAGCAGAAAGCTGTGCCCTGTGAGGGAGGCTGCGGTTGTCCAGCCAGGCGCATACACTGGAAAAGCTATGTTGAGTTGTAATGGTGTCCCCTGTTCCCTTCTTTTGCCCTGCGTTTCACCTCTGCGTGACGTTTATTGTCTTTGCATGCACTTGTACACGAATTCAGTTACGCTTTTGATTTTATGTGGATTTTGTGGGGCGGGGTCTGTTTCAGAAGGACAAGCAGGACAGTTCAGGTAGTTTGGAAGCTGTCAGCGATCCCATCCCGCAGCCGATGCCATTTCCACCCACTGCTGTGCGACCAGGCTCTCCTAAACTAGACCCTTCAGAAGTCTACCTGAAGTCTAAGACTATATATGAGGACAAACGTGAGTATATTAACTTCAACTTGGAAATAATCAATTATGAAGGAATCTTTTCTTTGTCATATGCGTGGTAAAACTGCTGTGACTTTTGTATTGAGTTTGTTAACCTCCTGTAGATAAAACATTTTCAAGAAATGCATAATTAGAAAACTGTGGAACTCCTTTTTTAAAAAAAGATACAATGTGCTTCAACCATATTTACGATAAAACAGTTAATCGTAGAAATGGTCTCAAGGATGATCTAGCTGTGAAGTATACTGAAGTAGACCCGACCATTTCAGAATTTATAGAGAGTAGCTCTGAGTTCTATTACAGACCCGATTTTATCCTGGCCCACCACATAAAAGCAGCTGTGATTTCTCCTTTGGCATTTGTCAATCTATCCTTTCCTTTTTCAGCCTTTTCTTGAAAATTTATTTTTCCATTTTGGAAAAAGAACATCACTGAAGATTTGACTGTTTGAATTATTTATTGTATTTCTGGTTACTGTGTTCTGTCGACAAGAAGGGTCAGAATGCACCACAAAAGCATAATCTTTCAATAATCAAAGATAGCTCCTTATGTATTTTGAAATGTTGCTTTGTCTCAGCTCCAAACACAAGAGATTTGGATGTTTTCCTGCGAAAACAAGAGTCAGGCTTTGGTTTCCGGGTGCTTGGAGGGGATGGACCAGATCAGCCTGTAAGTCAAACAATTTACGTTTGCCTACGTGTTATCTTACAGCATTTCTGTTAGAATGACTCCTGCTCTGTCATCCTCGTTTCCCTCTCATTCTAAACAGCTCAGTGATGGCAAAATTGATCAATTCAGTAACTGCCTTTTAAAGATCAAGAATTGATTCAGATTACCTTTAATTTTTTTCCTCTTCGTGGCTGACTTTAATTTGCAAGGCTCCCGTGCCCTTTCCTCTGTTCAGAGTCTGACTTTGGCAGCAGTTTTCTCTGTCAGGCTGGTAATATTGATGGTGTTTCTGTAGTTGTTGCTGTGTCTGGGGAGCACTCGAAGGGGCAGTGCTGGTGCTCAGCCTTTGCCCGTTTCCGCCTGATCCCAGGGGTGGTCTTGGCACAAAACGTGCCCTGGCAACACCCGGTGTGCCGCGCGCGTCGGCGCATCCCGGGGAGCAGGTGAGTGGAAGGAAGCTGCTGCTTACCCTGCAAAAACTCCATCAGGCCGTTCTTTTGAATGCAACCCAGTGAAACCAGGCAAGATTTGGGATTCTGTCGCACTCCTTTTCCCCCACCTCTCCCACCAAATTTTCAAAAATGCATTTTGTTCTGTCAGTCGGTGTGGTTTCTGGTGGATTTGTCTCAAGGAGACAAGCGCAGCCTTTCCAGTGCACGCTTTCAGGCTTTTATTTGCCTTGTTTTTCCCTCTCATCTCAGAAAATACAAAATGTGGTACTTCAGGATTTTTGTGAAAGCCTTGAAGCAGAACCTGTTGAGACTGGCTTTCTTCTGCAAATGGATGTTGGTATTGTTTTGCATTGCAACTGGCATCAAAACGTAGCTCTGATGTTTGCACAGAGGAAGGATACTAGTTAGAGCCTGCTTTGCTTTCGCCTGGTCAGTGAGCAGAGTTCAGTTATGATTGTAAGCGGGCAATGCAGTCCTGTTTCCTGGCCTCAGCCTGCAGAGCTGTTGCAGTTGGACTTGGATGACTCTGCTTGAGAGGTAACTGCCAAGCAATGGTGGAGTTGGAGGCAGAGAGGCAAATGCCACTGTGGAAACCCCTGGTTTCTTCTGCTGTTCTTCCGTTCTTCTGACGGCAGGCTTTAGGAGACTCCCCTCTATTTCCAGAAAGGCACAAATTTTTATCTAGGAAGAAGTGCTAAGACTTGTATCGCATGTCAGGGGCTGTTCCTTCAGCTGCCAAGTTCAGAGGAAAAGTTTTTGGAGCAGATACTCACAGATTGCTTTTTGGTCACAGTTAAGGAATACATTTTTTTCTGTTCACAGCTGTGATCCAGTGCTAGCACTCTTTTTTTTTTTTTTTCCCTAACATGCATTTAAAAAAAAGGAGGAGCAAAACAAAACAATCTTAATTCTGTTGCACTTCATCGCATTTGTGGTGTTTTGTTTCCATAACAGCCATAGCTGTTGGTAAGTGTCAAGCTAATGTCATGAATGCTATGTGCAGATGATCTGCCCCCCATTGCTTAACCTCCAACAACTACTGGCCATAATTAATCTTTCATTTAACCTGAATGTGATTCTAGTATATGAAATAGTGTGTGGTATTCTTATCTGTGTTATATTTAGTAGCACTTTATGAGCTGGGGGTACACAAAATTGATAAGGGGAGGGCAGCTGTTTGAATTCATTATCTAATCACCAAAAGCTGTGCACTGAAAAACCTTTAAGCATGGAACTGTCTACTTTTCAGCAGTAAATTTCAGTTCTTTCGAAAGCTTTTACTTCTTCCCCAGTCACTCTGGCCTAGTCTTGGTAAAAAAAATAAGTGGATTAAATGACAGAAGCTTTTGTTTCGATAATGTCTGAGAAATCACATATATGTAATAAGTACACAGTGTATACTTATGTCAAAAGTTGGGCTTTTTAACAAACTGAGAAGTATGCTCAGGAGATAGAGATGCTTCCAGAATTCATGGAAATAAGAATTAAAAATCCCCCCAAACTTTGTGTATTTACTGAATGCTTTGAGCCCCCAAATTGTATCTACTGAGTCAGCTTGCACAAAGTACGCTTGCTGGCTGTGTTTCTGCTAGAATTGGACAGTCAGATGATCTTTAAAAGTCAAAAGCCCTCATCTGTCTGGAGTCACCTGGATTCCAACCATTACGTGTTCTGATGAGTTCATGTTCTGCCGTTCAAACCCCCTGACTGCTCTGCTGACAGATTTATATTGGAGCCATAATCCCGTTGGGAGCAGCAGAAAAAGACGGCAGGCTTCGAGCTGCGGATGAGCTGATGTGTATTGACGGAGTCCCTGTTAAAGGGAAGTCGCACAAACAAGTTTTGGACTTAATGACCAGTGCTGCACGGAATGGTCAGGTGCTGCTCACAGTCCGGAGGAAGATCTTCTTTGGTGGTATGTGTCTGTCTGTCCGGAGAGGGTACTGCAGGACGTAGATCTGGCTAAAGGAACACTTAATGTTTTTGTAATCAAATCGACTAAAGCTGCTCTGAAACATATCAATTATTCACTAGAGCTGAGCAGCCTGAGATTCAGGACAGTCAGCTATAATTCTAAGTGGAGAAAAGCAGAATTTAATAAGCTGATGCTTTGGTGCTTGCTAGTTTGCACTGCTCACACAGTTAAGACTGAAAATTATGATGGCAGTGGTGTTCTCTTCAACCTTTTTTGCAGATACTCATTAGAACCACCACTAATGCTATGCAAATCGAATAATAACACAATGTCTTTTCTGTACAACATGCTGTATTCTCAAGTCTTTTGGCATCTGTGTGTAGCAAGAATAAGTGCATTCAAACCAGAGATGATTCGGGGCAGCATCTTGTGATTCTGCAGTGTTAGATCAGTGTCCAGGTCGGCAGTGTACAGAAAGTTATTGTCCTTGGGTACTGATCATGTGAATGACGGAGCTGGGGTGGGTTCAGGAGAACTGATAACAGTCCCCTGTTCCAATTAGCAACCAGTATTGCTTTTCTATTGCATTATCCAACCATTAATTCTGAGTATATACAAGTAAAAGGACAAAATATTTTTAAGATCTGTTCTCAATTTCTTTAAGATGCCTTCTGATAGACAGACTACTTCAGGACCAAAATTCTGTAGGTTTCCTAAAGAAAGCCTGGCTTCAGTCTTCAAACTGCCTTTTAAAAAACATTTCCATCGTTCCAAGTAAACAGTTGTTCCTCACTTAAGATAGCACTAGTTGTAGTTTGTAGCTGGATCTGTGCCGTAGATCTTGTGTCATGCAGAAAAGCCATGATGGTTTGGGTTTTGTTTTTTTTTTTTAACTATAAAAAGTCATCAGATCACTGACAAAAGTCTGTGTACACACTGCCAAGTCTGTCTGGCTGTGTGCAACCAGCGTGCAGCAGGCTTCCCTTGTATAACTGTGCCCACCTGCGCAGGACTCTGGGCCTTTGAATGCTTTATCCTGCATCTGATTACTATTTGATCCAAACTGTATTGTTGTTAAACTTACCCCTTACTTTCCCAGGCAGACAGTGTTTCCTCATGCTGGCACTGACACTGAGATGGAGTTTTGCTCTAGTTGCTTGGTAAGACAGCAGTATTGCTTTTCCCTTATTCGTTGTTTGTCTGTTACCTGCAAGGGGAGAAGCAACCAGAGGAGGAGGAGTCGCAGCCTGTCTTGACGCAAAACGGCTCTCCCCGACTGAATCGGGTAGAGTTTGCAAACCAGCAGTCCCCAGAGGTCTATGATGTCCGTCTGCAGCGGAAGGAGAACGAAGGATTTGGCTTCGTCATCCTCACCTCCAAGAACAAACCTCCTCCCGGCGGTAAGTGCCGTCTTCTGGCGCCGTTGTCGCTGCCCGGCCTCGCTGCGCGGCGCCTGTACCAAGCTGCTGGCATTCGCAGGCATGAGCGGGGCTGTGGCTTCTGCAGGGATTCCTCCTTTGATGTGCTGGTGTTACCTACACGGCACTCTGCGTAGACACAGTCGTCTTTCACTCATGCTGTTTCACAGCCCAACCCGAGACAGCTTGGCCTGTCTTGCTTCGTGTTGATGCTCTTTTTCACCCAGCTGTGGCAGAAGTGGGGAGCAGGGCGAAAGTGTGTCACACACAGCCAGCCTGTACGCAGGAGTGTGCGCTTGCCACAGGGCAGTCTTCAGGACATGGATAGTTGTCAGGCTGTGGTGGTGATGTAGATTCTCACACTGCATTAATTCATAGGCATTTTAATGGAGGTATAGTTTCAGCCTTGGCTTTATATTACCTAATGAGGTAGAATTTCTTATTTGGGGGATCTGACAAAGTAGAGACTGCAGCACTTGGAAGAAAGCAATGAAGTTGTTACTGTCAGACAGATAGGGTGTTTGTCGAGAAAGATCATCAAAATGAAAAAGTAGCACGCTCTGGTATTACAGTTCTGATATATGGACAGGGCTTCAGGCATAGTCGTGAAGATAAACAGCGAAATAACCAAGGTTAAAAGCAAAAATAAAAAGAAATCTTGTGAGTGGGAGTGAATGGGAAAAGCTGCTTGCAGGAAGCCCTGGAGTCCAACTCAACGGAAAGATCCGTGACCCCCTGCACAGGAGCGGGTCTGCTCAGCGTAATCAAGCGCATCTGTATTCCTCGTGCTGATGGCTGCTACTTACCTAGCAGTGCTACGTAGAGGCTGTTGGATATTTTTCACATGAGGTGGCGACGAAGATCATCTTTCTGAAATGCATTTCCTTTGGCCGTCAGGTTTGGGTTATCTGTGTCAGTCCTCAAAATACAAGCCAGCTCAGTGTGTTCACCCACAGACAAACTCGATTCACTGACACTGAGGTACACATATCTCCTGAAATCCTTACTTGGTTCCTTTAGTTCCTTAGTGTAAATCACCCTTCTGAAACTTCCTCAGCTGGTTCCAGACGGACATAATGACGGCTTGAAAGTGTGCCTCTTTTTTATGGAACCTCAGACACTTTCTTCTGTTTTTCCACTTCATTTTATTGCACAATAAAAAAACAGCGGGGGCACAGAAAAAAACTGATTCTAAATAACATTGTGCTGAATTCATATGATATATATTTAGAGTGTGATGCAGTCTTGGCTCAGACGATACCTTTTCAAGAATGTTAAAGCCAGCTGCTCTGGAAGCGCCTGGCGCGGTGGGACGGCGCAGCAGCAGTGGTCCACGCACGGAGCTGCCCGCTGCTGTCGGGTTCGCGTGGCAATGGCAGGGTGAGCTGTCACCCTGCGGTGCGTGGCGCTGCGCAGATGATTGTGTCCCACGTCAGAGCGGCCGTGGGTTGACAGTGTGTTCTCTGGTCAGTTGGATATTAAGAAAAAATACTATAAACAGAATTATTCTATAATATGTTGGTATTCTGTTGTAATACAACTTTACTACAGACAACATTTTTGTCTGAGGATATGCTGCAAATTCCTTTTTATTTGATATTAAACTGAAAGTAGAAGACAACTGAAACCAATTCCAGTACTGGAAACATAAGCCCTGTGGTCCAGGCTGTTTCTAACACACAGGAAAAAAGAGACGCTGGTGCATCCGCAGGCTGTGCTGTGCAGAACTTCCCTGTGCCACAGTTTAGCGTGAAGCTGCTGTGTTCTTCTAAAGCCAGAATATTTTAAAACAAGTAATCAGCAATTGAGTCTGCAACCCTGCAGTGCTTTACTCTTCACAGTTGGCTCTTAGGTTTATATAATACTTAAAAAACCAATCTATTAAGGGAAGTGTAATTAAAATTTAAACTCATGGCAAATGCTAGAAGGCATCAATGTCTGTTCCTTCGCAGTAACTTCTGCGTGTGCTAGCTCATTAAAACAATCCTTGATGGCTTTTTAATCTTGGGTGGCTGTGGAAGTGTTTCAGATTTGCTGTCATGGTTTTGAAAAGCCAGCTGATAATCCTGACAGGCGCATAATGTTCCTCGCCTCTCCGATCCCTCAGAGAAAAGCATGTTTGGGAGAGCAGCAACTCCAGAAAACAGGTATCCATCAAACCCACTTCAGGCTCTGAAGATGAAAAAAGGCTTTTACATGAAGTACCAGGAAGAGCATTTATGAAACATGTGGAGGTCAGTCTGGAGAGGTGTTTGGAAATGAGTTACAAAGGAGCGGTGCAGTGGTTCCTGTGCAGAAGAGCCCTGATGAGGGATTTGGGAGTGACAGGAGACAATTTGCTATGCTTTCAGGCATCCAGATGAATGAAGGGCTGTTTTAGACACATGGGAAGGCATGCTGACTGATGTGCTTTGATGTGACGCGAATCTGCTCTGTCGGGGCCACGTCAGCACGCAGGCAGCTCAATGAGCCGCTCTTTTGCCCCAGGTTTTGGTAAGCTCCTCCTGTCACAGTGGCATCTCGCTGGCTGCCGAGTGCCACCTTCGGGTCAGCAAACCGTAAAACACGATCTCTACGCGAGCACCAGCACGGCTCTTGGCGGGGAGGGCGCGGGAGCCGCGGCGGTGCTCTCCCATGGGAGAGGTGCCGGAGGAAGCGCCGTGCTGGAGCGCAGCATCCCTCCCTCCTCCTGCCTTTTTAGTTCTGCTCGTTCCTGCATCTTTGTTCGCCTCTGGGTGAACGGTTACTGGGAAAGTAACTAAAAGCAGTCTTTTTTCCTTCTACTTCTCGTAAAATTCCCTCTTCTCCCTGTTCTGTCTCTTGTGGCCCCATTGTTTTGGCCTCTAGAGGAGTCTGTATACAGAGCAGAGTGTCACTATGGGGTGAACTGATGAAACCAAGCCAGGAGAGCTAGCTAAAATCCAGGCTAGTTATTACAGGTGCAAGTTCATCTCGGCGAGCAGGAATAGGGAACAGGCCCGTGCCGAGCTGACCTGGCGCACCTTGCTGTGCTGCCCAGTGTGCTGAGGGTTGCTGCCGAGGTGTTCACCAGGTTACTAAGGTAGTCTCTGGCAGGAAAAGTTTGATTTCCTCTTGAAGTGTATTTAAGGCTTAATTTTTGGTTGCAAGGAGGAAGAGTTAACCCGGGGATCCAGATTTCTAATGGCTGTTAAACTGGATGTCCGTAACTGTCTCTGAGCGCACACAGTGCGCCAGGGTCTGCGCGTGGAATGGGAAACAATACCTCGTGAGTGGCAAAACAAACTGCTCCAGAGCGCTGCTGGGACACGGGGTCTTGCTCATCCCTTTGCAGATGTGACCCATTTCCTTCCCGTGTTTTCCTTTAGGCACAACATCTGGTACGGGACAAGGCCGTGCTGTCAGGGGTTGGCGTTTCCATTCACGCTACTGAGTGAAGCTTTCTTCGTTATTGGCAGGCTTTTCTTGTGCTAGCAGTGCCGCCCTTTAGAGCAGGAGCGGTCTCTGGGTTGACTGTGGCAATCCTGGGTCTGTGTGATGCTTATCTGACATGAATATTAATTGTGTTGCTGTGCCTGTTCTCGATTTCCTAGTGATTCCTCACAAGATCGGGCGAGTTATAGATGGGAGCCCCGCTGACCAGTGCGGGAAGCTGAAAGTGGGAGACCGTATCTCAGCGGTGAACGGTCAGTCGATCGTTGAGCTCTCGCATGACAGCATAGTGCAGCTGATCAAGGACGCTGGCAACGTGGTGACGCTGACTGTCGTGGCTGAGGAAGGTAAGGAGGGCACGTGGCCCTGCCAGGTGGATGGGTCCTACCATGCTGCCAGAGTCTAATGCGTGTAACTTCTGAGTTTAATTCACTTAAAGTGGAGTACGTTAAGACACTTGGAAGTTAAAGAAAAGAGTGAAGCTCCTCCGTTTGCTCTGGAAGAGCTGAAGGCAGATGGGGCAGAGATAGACAGCAGCCAAGGTTGAAAAATACTGAAAATACTGAAAAATAAGATACAAGTATTACCAGTACAGTGTAGGGTAAAAGAAATTCTCAGGGTTTCTCACGTGAGAGAGGGAGACTACTGCTCCCATGGAAACGTGTCCTGTCCAGACCTTGTATTCTTCAACCAAAGAGAAATGACCTCTCTTGGGAGAGCTACAGCAGACTGATGGGACGACACTCTGAGACAAAATCTTCTCCCCCTGGACAGTGCCCGTCCCCCTGCTGCCGCAGTGGCCGCTAGGAGCTTTGTTCCAGACGAGGGAGGTGCTCTCGGGATGCTCTGGAGCGGCTCCACTGGGCAGAGCTAGGGTGCTCTAGGGCCACAGGGACATCTGCTTTCCAGATCGTCTCCATTTAGGCACTCTGAGTTTTTCCTTTCTGCCATGTTAAGATACACAAATTGCCTAATGCTGCATCCCTGGGATACAACAGAAACATCCTGTAGCTCTTCTGTCTGCCAAAGCTGCGCTTTCACAAGTGGTCACATCCCACCGTGAAAACCTTGCTCGGGGTTCTCCTGCAGAGCCTCCCAGGCTGCTCGCGAGTTCTTCACACGCAGCTGCCGTGTCGTCTGAGCAGCAAAGTGAGTATTTGTGACTGCGAAGTGCCATCTTTAGAGACCGTGTCTTTAATGAAAGCTCCCATGCAACACTCTGTTCAATGTGGTATTGTTCCTACACAAACGGTTCACTACAAATATGTACAACCCAATCATTTGAAGAGAAAAGCTGTTTTCCAACCCTGCTTACCACTGCATTTTTCTGGAGTGCTGCTTGTGGGTTTAATTAAACTCGCTATCATTATTTTGCCAGAAAGTTGGCTTTCTTCACCTTCTAAACAATAAATACCTAAAGCCAGAATGTGAATAAAGCCAGCAAATGATTCTCTAATTTCACATTCATCGCAAATATCTAACATGCTATCTCAGCCTGTCATACAGAATTTCAAAGACTTAGTTGGTTTTGTTAATGCTTGAAGCAGAGAGACTTCTATAAATTGTTACTTTTCTATTAAGATCTTCGTTTTTATCAAACCTCTAATTCATTGGCGTTTGAAGGGACACACCTCAAAGCAGTTGCCCAGGGCAATGTTTATAATGCAGCTGAAGTTTGAGTTGTGGTTACATTAGATCTGTTTCTCCAGGGCTCTTAATCAGCTTTGTTTTCAAAACAAGCTTTCTGAATATAACATTATTGTCCCTTATTTATGCATGACCTTGCCTGGACTCTGTGTAAGAACTAGCTTTTCCCACTTCCTCAATTACAGATTTGGAGCCAAAATGTAGAGATAAAACAAGAGCCTGAGGAGATTCGAGAGAGAGGGGGAAAAAAGTTAGTAGTGGGTGATAAAACTAGACTGAAAAGACCAGTCAGAAAAAATATGTGGCTTAGAGGAGCTGGAGTTGGCATGTTTCAGATGTAAAGAGTTTGTGACAATGAAGGAGAGAAGCAGAACCTGTTCCACAGAAATGGGGATCTGTCGCCACTTAAAGTTCTCCTTGACTTAGCTGGAGAAATAGAGTTTAGCTCACAGCGTAACCCTCTACCGCAGATTCCCATAGAAAGCCAGGGTGGATGTGAATTAGTCGGGGCTTCGGGCGTTTTCCCCACGGGGCTGCGGGCAGAGAGCCGAGCGTCACGGAGATGGTTCACAAGACAGCAGTTAACACCAAGGAAGATGCAGGATGCAGCTCCAAAGAGAAAAATGCCCATTTTGCCAGGAGCTGTTCAGCATGGCGAAGCACAAACCCTGACGGAGTTTGCTGCTCCCCACTGCATCGTCTTCAGCGCTGTCCTCTGAGACTGACAGTGAAAATACTGCCTTGTACCCCTTCCCTCTCCCTCCTAGCTTTCACAGGTGTGTGATCTTTGGTTTTCATACGAATAAATGAATTCCACTTCCCGCACAGAAGACATTCTTTAAGATTTTTTCACAAAAGCAAGAGCTGTCAGCTTTTGTCATATATTAGCTGGAAACACAAGAGAGCAGGCTGAAAAGAGGACTGGAGAACTTGTACAAACAGATGGCATTTTTCTTGCCTGTGCTTATAAATTAAAACTCTGAGTATAAACCAGGAGTAAAAGTTGACATTTTGTCTCTAGAGAAAAACCTCTTTAAGGCATGTCATAGCAATAGCACCAAGCAGTCCTGTGAAGGACCTGGGAGGTCTCGCATACCTGAGAAATTCAGTCCAGTAATAGCCATTACGGTTTCCTTCCCTTAAGATGCTTGAGCGCTTTGTATGTTTTACTGGGGTTGGTTTGTTCTTAACTGAGAAATGCAGTAATGTGATGCACCTAACAGAGGACTGCAACATCTCTAGTTTGGGTGCTTGGGATTTTTTTTTAACCCTTCTAAGGAACAGGAGTTTATTAATTTATAATTCAGTACATAAGTTCATCTTGGGCCACAACTTGCCATTTTGGGTTCTAGCTAAGGGGCAGCTTTTTGCATAGACTATGGTTCGTTACTCTTAAGTGACGGAGACGTTTTGTATCCTGAAACGTGTTGTTTTCATAAATGCACTGGATTTATTGTAAAGTGCACAACCACTGTATGTTGTGTGGAAGGGAAAATAATCTTAAACTATTGTAAAAGGTTTTATTAAAATGTCATAATACTTTAATTTTTACTTAGCCTTTGGGAGAAGCCAAAACACTTCAGAATTCTCCTTGATAACCTGTCGGTGTGGTTGTAACCTTTCCTACAGCTGCCTGGTAGCAAACTCTGTTGTGCCTGAAATAGTTGACGGTTTCCCTCCATCGTTGGGGTTTTCACCTGTGAATCCTCATTGCCCCTGCAGATCCTCATTCTCCTCTTACCTTTAAAAAGGGATATGTTCTCAAATGGACATTATTCTTCATCTCTTGCAAAATTTTATTATGTTGACCATCCGAACCAACTTCATGGCTCTGACTAGCCCTAATCCCTTCTGGGCTTTATCAGCTTGCAGACAGTCTAAACCCCTTCTGTTCATGTCTGGTTCGGTTAAAATTGTGTTGCTTTTCTGAGAAAAAGCAGTGTAGGTAAGAATAAAATTTCTAGGAGTTTATCCCATGGAACCAATGAGCTGCACTTGGGTTCCTGGCTTATGGCGTTAGACCCTGGAAAATCTTCTTCACCTTGTGCGTGTGGTGAGCTCAGCTCAGCCTGAGAGGCCGTGGCGGCAGCACCCTTCGGAACAGCTGACACAGCGCTGATGCTCGCTGTGGGCTCGTGAGCCTGCCTGGCTTTATATTTGGGAAGTTCTCTCTGACTGTCGGTTTTGTTTGAATTTATTAGAACACCGTGGTCCTCCATCAGGAACAAACTCTGCCAGGCAGAGTCCAGCTCCGCAGCACCGGCCGCTGGGACCAGCACAGATCAACCCTCCCAGCGCAGACAGGTACAGAGCTTTTGCTTCGGGCCAAAGGAGCTGATAACGGCTAGAAAAGCTTGACCAGAGGGATTGTTAAGGCAGAAGTAACATCTGTGTCCTTGTACCTCTCTGCAGGGGAGCTACAGAAGGTGAAGCTGGAAAAGATGTTTCAAATAGTTACAGGCTTTCCTGGCCCGAGCATAAGCACTTGACACAGTCCGATGCTGCTGTTGCTTCAGTTGTTGGTAGCCGTCATTCCCAGGTACAGGTGAGTGTCCAGAGGGTGCGGAGACATGCAGAATACTCATTTGTCAAGATGCTGCAGCGGCATTGCACGGAGTATTCAAAAGCAGAACAATAAAACATTTCCCTGTCAGACGTGGGTAGAAAAGTTGCGTATAAAAATGCACTCAAGCGTTTCACAGAATGTTTTTGCTAATGTTTTAAATTTTATTATCTCCTTAGTATAGCTGAATACTCATTATAATTATAAAAGAAACAGGAAATGCTTGCAATGGGGCTACTACAGACCCTTTGGCAGAGTCTCTTAGAGAAATTTCATGCGTATCTAAAACTTAGAAGGAAAAATGTTCTGCATGTTTAGACTTAGAATGAAACCATTACACCTAGTCATACATGAGTTGTGATGAATTCAGTCTAAATCATGGATTGCATGTTTCTCAAAATATACAAATGTGTGAAGCATTTTTCCGGAAAAACAAATGTTTAAATCTGCCCACAGGTGCTCATCTTTTTTTTTTTTTTTCCTCTGACTTCCTGCACAGAATCCTGGCTGTTTCCCAGTAGAGTTGGAAAGGGGCCCTCGAGGGTTTGGATTCAGCCTTCGAGGAGGAAAGGAATACAACATGGGCTTATTCATCCTTCGACTTGCTGAAGATGGGCCGGCCGTCAAAGACGGGAGAGTACATGTGAGTTTGTCTTCTCTAAACAATTTGTTGATCAAGTCGGCCTTTTGACATATTAATTCACCCACAGTGGCAACAAACTGTTCTTTCACGAGTGAAGTTGCCTTCTCTTTGGTGAGTTGCTTGCTGGGCAAGGGGTTCCCCACTGACAGGACTGTGCTTTGCCTGGACGACCTGTGCCCAGGCACGGCTTGGG